TTGTAGCTGAGACTGAGGTCTGTTTTTCAACGGACCGTCAACAAACAGGCTTTAGATTATACATGTAAACATATGTGTCCCATTTTCATAGTAATCAAATTTGATACACCTGCTATGCACAGAGGAACAGCTGCTGACAAGCCTGAAACTTGACCTGCCGTTTCTTGCAGATCACATCCAAATTATGCAGTCTTTCTCTTGCTTGGTTTTCAAAGGCCTCCTTGTGAGGTTCTTTCAGGGTGCTCACTCAGTCATTTAGTTCACTTAATAATTGTGAGCTTAATGTTTGCTTGTTTATATATGTCATAAATATAACAAAAAAAAAACCAAAACAAAAAGAGTTGTTAAAAAAAACAACAACACTAAGCTCACAATTATGGTGATATCTTGGTTTTCTGATAACAGGCCTCAGATAACAGAACAGGGAACTTTTATGGGATATCTTTAAAAAGCCATCCCACTGTAATTCACCAGACAGTCACAAGCGGTAATCAAAGTGCCCAAATGCCTTTAAGTGTTCTGAGATGGACCCGGGAATGTCATGGAACACGTTCAGAGTTAGCAGAACATTCACTGAGTTTTCGGTTAGGATCGGAACAAAGAATGAATCAGTGGCTTTCGGATTTGAACTCATTTGGAACACTTGATTGCTGGGTTCCCTTTCCATATTTATTTCCCTGCTTTGTGTATGACCAGCTTGTCATGCAGCAGCTCCTTCAATACACAGCTTGCCTATATCCTTTTAGTCATCCCGAGGTGGCATTTTAACGAGGATCACTTCCATGAACAGAGTAGGTACTTATTGTTGAATAAAACAGTCTTGCCAACATTGAATATGTCTCCAAGATGACTAACTAAGCTGTGTATAAAAATAAGAATTTAAAAAGAGGTTAGAGGTGATATCTGTGGCCAGCTCAGCATGAAGAGAAGTATGGATTGGATGACTGGTATTACCCTGCAGCGTTGTGTGGGCCTAGGAGTTGGTGTTAGTACTTTTATAAAGGATGTACTATTTTTTTTAATTAAAAATGTTTTCTTGCTTTATTTTTTATCAGATAGTGTTTTATTAAGCAACACATATCAGAATTCAGTGATAGTAATTTAAATATTGCTACTAATAGAAATCAATAAATCTTATTTTCATTATTGGCCATCTCTAAGCAGATGTAAAGAAGAATGACTTTCATGTACAGATCATTCTGCTTCTCAACTTACTAGATAGTTGCTATCATGAAAAATACCCCCTCTCAAAGCAGGTTCCCTCTCCTGCTAAAGGAAATTTATAATAGAGACCTCATGATGTTATTATATAGACTAAATAAAATAAGATGTGTAACCTGAGACATAGTATTGCACAGAGATTTATTTTCTACCTCTGATGCTCTTTTAGCCAGTGTGCAGGGCTTGGAATGGCCAATCCATCTATACTAATAAAAGGGTAATATGCTAATTAGACCAGGTCAACCAGACATCTTCTGGTCATCCGGTCCTTCTTCCAAACAAAGCCACAGTGGCGTGGGCTGAGGCAGAGTTGGCTAGGGGCGATCAGGCTGGCAGGGGAGGGCAGTTAGGGGCAATCAGGCCAGCAGGGGAGGGCAGTAAGGGGAAATAAGACTGGCAGGCAGGCAGGTAAGCAATTAGGAGCCAGCGGTCCCGGATTATGAGAGGGATGTCTGACTGCCGGTTTAGGCCCGATCCTGCAGGGACATCTGGCAGTCAGACGTCCCCTGAGGGGTGCTAGATAGGAGAGGGTGCAGGCCAGGAAAAGGGACCCCCACCTCCATGCATGAATTTTGTGCACCAGGCCTCTAGTTTACTTATATGCATCTTACACAGTTCAGCAGCAGCCAATAGCAAGTACTGAATAACAACAATATGGACTGTTGCTAGTAACTATAGTGTATGGCATTCAAGTTCTTTCTAAGGAACATAGTTTAATGTTCATTTTTTCTTTTTGCCTTTTTTATATTTCTGTCTGACTTTTCTACTTGAAACCATTGAAATTGAATACTGGTTTCATAGGCAGTAACCCACCTAATTCAGTGGGCTTTGTTCCTGTACTCTCTTTGGTATATTAACCAGCTTAATGAATTTCTGTTAGAAAGTAAACTGTTATCATTAGGTCAAAATTAAGAAAATATGCAAAGATTAATGAGTTGATGATCACAGTAGACATTTTATCATTATTTCTTGCAAATATTTGTATTGATCTCTTGGCCAAAGTCATGAAAATAATACAGTGTTGTGCTCTGTAGCCTATAATTTTTTGAAGAACCAATTCATCTTTCCTGGCTGTTGATTTAGAGAAATACTAGATGTTTTAGCTTTCTTATTACAGTTAGTAAATATGCAGACATCTTTGTAATTTTTTGTTGTATTTACCAGGATTGACACGTTTCTTCAAAAGGTGGTGGCAATGTTTTCCTTAGGGTAGTGGTTCTCAACCTTCCTAATGCTGTGACCCTTTAATACAGTTCCCCATGTTGTGGTGACCCCAACCATACAATTATTTTTGTTGCTAGTTCATAACTGTAATTTTGCTACTGTTATGAATCATAATGTAAATATCTGATATGCAGGATGTATTTTCATTGTTACAAATTGAAAATAATTAAAGCATAGTGATTAATCACAAAAACAATATGTGATTATATATGTGTTTTCCGATGGTCTTAAGCGACCCCTGTGAAAGGGTCGTTCGACTCCCAAAGGGGTCACGACCCACAAGTTGAGAACCGCTGCCTTAGGGCTTTCAGGCATGCTGTGTGGCAGGCAGGTCATATACAGACCTGGGAGAATAAGGTTTCACTACCATTGGGAAGACTATTGTTGGTATTTTCTTCAAGGGAGTCCAGGGTTAAGAGGAAAAACAGGAGGAAATGTGAAGCTGTTTGCTGGTTTCTTCGAAAGTCTGTATTCCTTTTGTTTTGTTTTATTAAAAGAAAACAAATTAATAAAACAAACAAACAGAAAAAATGGCCTTGTTTAGCAAAATTAAAGTAACTTTTCTCCAAATACTTTACTTGCAGGAAGAGATGGAATAATACAGTTTTAGCTATTTCTGGGAACCATGAATTTTATATGATACTAGAGGCCCAGTGTACAAAATTCTTACACTCGGGGGAGTGTTCCCTCAGCCCAGCCTGCGTCCTCTCACAGTCCAGGAGCCCTCGGGGGATGTCCTACTGATGGCTTAGGCCCGCTCCTCGCATGGGCCTAAGCCATCAGTCGGACATCCTTGTGCTTCCGTGGAGGCAGGAGAGGCTCCTGCCACCACCACTACGCTCTCCAGCTGTGGGCCAGATTCAGGGCTTCTGGCTGAGTGGTGCTCCCCTGTGGGAGTGCACTGACCACCAAGGGGCAGCTCCTGCATTGAGCATGTGGCCCCTGCTGGTCAGTTCACATCATACAACTTGTCGTTCTGCCATTCAGTCAATTTGCATATTACCTTTTATTATACAGGATTTCTAACAACTCTGCACATCTGGTATCCTAATACATAATCTTCAATATCCTGAATGTAGCCCTACTTAGCTTCTTAACAGAACAAGATCATCTTACTTAGTCATAAGGACACTTTTTCCTTTTTTTCCAAATACTCTTTTAATTATATCAGTATTTTAACCATCAAAGTTATAAATCTTTAGAAGGGATTGTTCGCTTTGTTATCTAGAGAAAGCACATTATTATTAGCTATATTTAAATCATAAATAAAAAGTGTAATAACAAATTACTGAATATTACACAAAGCAGTAATACATTTTAACTTTTTTAAATATTGAAGCGTTCATTTAGAGGACTGAGTTTTTTAAATAGAGGGTATATATTGGATCTTGAAAGAACAATATTTAGTAAAAAATTGCTGTGGCAAAGTACACATGATAATTTACACCTTATAAATAGCCAGGATTTGAATGTTAACTGAAGCTATTATGTCAGGGTTGGAGGTGATGTTTCAGCCACATGCCCTTCCCTGGGATACTAGCTACCTGATCTGATTCTCTAGCCTCCCATTGATTCTCTGCTCCCTCCTCCTCCCATGATCCTGCCAATAAATTTCTTTCACCAGAAAATAAATAAATAAATAAACAAACAAATAAATAACAAAGATTGATTAAATCTATAGTTTCCCACTGTAACATTTTCTTTTGGAGTCAAAGTCAAAATGTTGTGTATTTTTATAGTTACCTATATAAATATAGGCAAGTAAACTTTTTACTGTCTCAATATTTGAAACATATATTTTGTTTATTATGCATGTTAATAATCTTCTAGGTTCTAAAATTTGGAGAGCTATTTGAGAAAAATGATATTTAAAAAGTTATATAAACATTTAGGACAAAATGTTTCTGTTTAATCCAAATTAGTCAGTCTTTTCAACCAGTGCTTTTGTAACATTCTTACATCTACCAATTATGAAGGCAAAAATCTTTGCTTGGTAAGTCTATTAATGTTGGTGAAAATATAAAACACCCTATTTTGGGGAGGTTTGTTTAGATATAGTTTTAAGGGTGGAAAGAAAAATTTCATTCAAAACTACATTTAAAGAAAATACATTATTATTATTTTTTAATTTCTTTATTGATTAAGGTATTACATATGTGTCCTTATCCCCCCATTTCTCCCCTAAACCCCCCACTCATGCCCTCACCCCCCTGTTGTCTGTGTCCATTGGTTAGGCCTATATGCATGCATACAAGTCCTTTGGTTGATCTCTACCCCTTACCCCCACCCTCCCCTACCTTCCCTCTGAGGTTTGATGGTCTGATCTATGCTTCTCTGTCTCTGGATCTGTTCTTTGTTCACCAAAAATACATTATTTTTAAAATTCAGTCACCAATATTTTTGAATATTGTTATGGTATGGTATTATTCTCTTTTAGGTAAAATCTGATTAACAAAATCACCTTTTTAAACTTCCTGTAGTAAAGCGGCATCTGTCTTTATTTTCAATACTATCAAGCTTTTAATTAACAGAATCCACATGGGTTGCTTCCTTAGAATACCACTAAACGTCAGAGACATCGTCTACTGTACAGGAGTTTCACTGCTAGATGAGGATGTCTGGGAATTCATATGGATGAAATTCCACTCCACCACAGCAGTTTCCGAGAAGAAAATATTATTAGAAGCCTTAACTTGCAGTGATGACAGGAATTTATTAAATAGGTAGGTCAATTAATGGTCAAATGTATTTGTGTAATGAAAGTATTCTTTGTTAATCAAACCGTTCTGAAGTTGTTATTCTTTCCTGGAGTATATGCTAATCATTCTAAGTCTATATTCCTAAAATTAAGGAAAACTGATTTGTTAAGATAACTAAAGCTAGTTGACTTGAAAGATATACCTTTGTTTCTAACTGATCTTTTAAAAGTTATATTTTACATATATATGTAGGATAATATGTCAATATTAAAGGAAATGTTTACTATAAAATTTTTTAAAGGTAAGTTTGCATCATCAAACCAGAATTATGATTTCCCCACCCACAAGATTTTTAAAAATTTAATCTATTAACATATATGAGTTTGATCTTCCTTCATTTTTAGAACCAGAAAATTATTCTATTGTTAAATTTGTATTAGTAAAGTTTACCCTGGACTGTTCTCTTGAAGAATATGATAAATTATACCATATAATTCTTGTAATTTTATAAAAATGTTTAAGTTGTGGGACTAAAACTTAGCCCACAATTCTATCTTTAAAGGCTTCTGAATCTGTCACTGAATTCTGAGGTGGTGCTGGATCAAGATGCAATTGATGTCATAATCCATGTAGCTCGAAATCCACATGGCCGGGACCTTGCCTGGAAGTTTTTCAGAGATAAGTGGAAGATATTGAATACCAGGTAGATATTGAGTTTAATCATTCATAATTGAGTGAGTTAATAAGAGGTAACATATGAGGGAGAAAAGCACAACTTTTTGTGTTAGAATAAAAGTCCGGATAATAGAATTAGATTTTTAAAAAGTCTATCAAGATGGGTCTTGCCATGCCTATGAAACTCAAAATTATTTTAACATTATATAACATTATTCATTTATTAAATATTGATCACTATAATTATATGTGTAAATGTAGAGAGTAAAAAGTTTTAGCAGTGCAATTTTCCTTGGCAATCTATCAAACTGTCTCAAGTTGAAGAAATTGTTATCATAAAACCCTTATATCCTGAATATGTTATAAAAATGATTTAAAAATTAGGTATAATTGTATTATGGCAAGAAAACTTTACTTCTGTATAGTTGTTTTAAATTTCCTTTAAATAAAAATATCACAAAACACCTGAAATAAAACCATGGAACATTTGAATCATTGTATAATCCTAGTTGCAGTATAATTCATTCCTGAGACATCTTGTTTCATGGTGAGAATTCTTCAGCCTCACTTTTAGAAAATATTTCTGATATATTTAAATATATTGTAATAAATGTTAATTTATTACTATTATAATCTCTATGGTATTTTAAAATTAAATTTATTATAGAGCATGTGAATGTTGCATGTTCTCAAACTTAAATGTCCCCAGACCATGTGCAGACCTACTGTTCTATATCTTAAAAAAAGGTATATAAACTTTACTTTTAAAAAGTACACCTTTATCAGTATAAAGAGTTCAATCTGAATGAGTGTATCATATTAAAACACATTTCTATCTATAGATATTTTGTTGTCAGAAAGCAGTGATATTCCTAGAAAGCACATTGGGTTTTTGCATTTTCAGCTCAAAAATTAGAATGATTGGAAGATTAAAACTTGCTTTGCTGTTATGCACGTAACATAGTGAATAGTCACACAGAAGGTTAAATTAATAGTAGATGCAAGCATTTTATAAAGAGTGTTAAATATCCACCAATACAGAGTCTCTTTAGAGGGTGCTTTTGTAGATCAGAGTTCACTGTAATGAATACATAGTTTAGTTCATACCAAAAATATGTCTATTTTATCTCAGAGAGTCCATAATCTCTAATCAAAAGGTAGAAAGGTTAAAGTTATAGCATATGCACAGATACAGCAGTGTCTATCTTGACAAATAAGATTGTCATAATCTGCTGCCACATCTCTGTCAGCATTTGAATATTTGAGTTCATGAGGGTGCCTTCCCAAGTTCTCCTTACTTCTTGACTTGCAGATCCTCCCCGGTTTTAGTTGCCATCTATTCTCATGGTTTCAATCACTCAAATCTGTATCTCTAACTCAGACATTTCAACTAAGCGGTACCTTGTAATTGACAATGGCCTATTGGGATCCCCTACGGGGATGTACTTGCAAAGCTCAATCCATCATTTATCTCTCCCTTTTCTCAGCCAACAGTATGCTATTCACCAATTACTCAACCCAGATACCTGAAAATCTACATATGACTCCCCCTTTCCCTTGTCATATAGAACAATTAGTCTTGAGGCCTAGTCAATTCAACAATTCCTAAATGTTTCCTGAATTACCACTCTCTTTCCTGTTACCACTGCCCTAGTACAGGTAATTATTTCTTATCAGTACTCTTAACAATAGCCCTATGTTTCCCTGCCTCTATAATTATCTCCAGCACTGTGGTGTGTAGGCGCTCCCCCCCCCTCCCCGCCCCCAACACACACTGGCCTTTTCCACTTGTCCCAAGAATCACTCCAAAAAACAAAGTACTATTTCCCTGATGTAAAACCTTCAATGGTTCTGTGCTCCACTGAGAATCAAAGATCCCTTATAAGTCCTCTGACTAACCTTGTGGCCTCATGTTCTGCTGTTCCCAGGCTCACAATTTATAGGCTCTTAATACCAAATGCTTGTAGTTGTCTTCACACATCATGTTGTTTCACACATCCTTGCATTTGTTTATATTGGTCCTCTGTCTAAATTACTTTCTTCCTTGATCTTGGGAACTATTCCATACTCAATCTATATGCCATCATCTCCCCAAATCCTATCTCAAGATCCCACAGCAAAAGAGACCTTCTCTAAACAAGGTGCATATTTTTCTTATCACCACAATAAATGGAAATTATCTATTTACAATACTAGATATTATAATACCTTCAAGGAAAGGATTGTGCCTTATTCATCTTTACACGACTATAAGCAAAGTATAAGCAAAACACTCTTAGAAAAAGAATTATTTTTATTCCTGCACAGGCCATTTCTTTAACCACATAATGATTACTAACAATTACTTATATTATTATTGAATGCCTATTTATTTTATTTAGCTTTTTCCCATGAAATAGTTCAATGTTAGAATTATAACAAATTCTGACAGTCATCAGTCTAGTCCCCTCATTTTACATATGAGAAAGCTGAGACTTCAAAAACTGAATTATTTAAAGTCCCACAAGTAAGAGCAGCATTAGACAACCTCTGGTAACAGTGGCCTGGCATTTGCTTCCTAAAACTCAGACTGTTATTTTTGGTGTACGTTTCTTAGTTCTGAGCATGATAGCCTCTGATAAGTATCCTTAGCATAGAATAGACAAATCAATAAATGAAAACTCTTGCCTTGAGTCCTGAGTCGAGTAATTATGTGTGTGGTAGAAGTATTATGCAATTCCAATGAACAACTTGATATTGTATTTTAATGGCCACATGAAAAAATGCTAATTTTTTAAAAACATTTTTGAGAAATTTGACTCAGTTTCTAACTATGAAAAATGCTAATGTCCGTTTTGACTGACCAGACTAAAGAATCTGTGTGACATACTGATAATGCCCAAATTTGTCTTGCAATCATGTTTCCCTAGTTGGGATTATTTTTCATAGTGAGCTAGATTATGTTAAAGTTGAAAGTTTTAAAATAGTTTTTTTCCTCAGGCCTTGGATTGGGAATGTCATAGTAGTTCTTGCATCTAATTTTAGAAGGCTCCTTTTTAAAAAATTAATACTACTCAGACTTTTCTTAAAAGTTGTGAGCCAAATCAGGTGGCATTTGCTGGTATCCTATAATCATAGCTCTTTGCACCTCCCAACTTCCTATAGAAATGACCTTGAATGCTCAGAGATATTGATAGCATCAAGACACCACTGGTCAAATGGAACCCATGAGAAGGGTTCTAAGAAATCTTTATAGTCATATTTCTTTTTTAAAATTTTTTATTTTTCAATTATAGTTGACATACAATATTATTAGTTTCAGGTGTACACCCCAGTGATTAAACATTATATAACTTACTAAGTGATTATCCTAATAAATCTCCTACTCTTCCAACTACACCATGCAGTTATTGGAATATTATTGACTATATTCCCAATGCAGTATTTTACATCCCCAAGACTATTCTGTAATTACCAATTTGTACTTCTTAATCATTTCACCTTTTTCATCTATCCTCCCAACCTCCCTCCAATCTGTATCTATGAATCTCGTTTCTGTTCTATTTGTTCATTTATTTTATTTTTTGGATTCAATTGTTGGTAAATATGTATTTATTGCCATTTTATTATTCATATTTTTATCTTTTTTTCTTCTTCTTCATAAAGAAGACCCTTTAACATTTCATATAACAATGTTTTGGTGGTAATAAATTCCTTTAGCTTTTTCTTGTCTGGGAAGCTCTTTTTATATGTTCTTTGATTACGATATGTCTTGGTGTGGGACTTTTTCAGTTCATCTTGTTTGGGACTGTCTGTACTTTGTCAACACGTATATCTATCTTCATCACAAGGTTAGAGGAAGTTGCTATCATTATTTTTTCAAATAAGTTTTGAGAGAGCTAGAAATATAATAGTATTTCTTAAATTACTGCCTTTATTAACATTAAGACTTCTTTTTATCTTTTGAGGTATGGAGAGGCATTATTTATGAATTCCAAACTTATCAGTGGAGTTACAGAATTTCTTAATACTGAAGGTGAACTCAAAGAGGTAAACCTTTTATGATTTCTAATGCTTTTCTTTTATAAACATATGAAATTATACATTTACTTCAACAATTTGTTTACAACAGAATCATATTCATTCCTTTAAGACACACACACTCACCCACGCTAAAGACTACTCAATTCATTATTTGAAAATATATTTTTGACATATTAAACATGAAATGCCTTTGAGAAATGTTTGAATGGAATGAGTCTTCAACTTGGGGATTCCAAATCCACTCCAGGCATATTTGATCCAATCAGCTGCTCATCATCTGATTGTGTGAACCCAGTTTAGGATCCTCAAAACAACAAGACTGTCACAATGATTCAGTATTTGGATACAGAAGACCAAAGTTGAAGTTGAGGTATAGAACTTGAGTCTCACTGCTTTGTGCTCAGGTCTAATACAGAGAATGGGTAACTGGATGTGATGATAATGCTTCATGCTATTCAGTCTGTAATTATTTAAGGACTAGTGTCCAGTTTGTGGAGTATCAAACATATCCTTTTTTCTCTGGAAACCAACTAGTGTTTTGACCATTTAAATCTCTAATAGAAAGGAGTGTGAAATGGGGAGGGGTAACTTGGTAGGAGGAAGGAGCAAAGTATAGATATACTTAATTGATTAAAATGAGTGGAGCTTCAAACACCTCGTTTTTTGTATGCTGCTCTCTTCCACGATAAAACATAGCTGAGAGTTATCACTGAGAATCATGGTTTCCTCAGTTTCCACTGATGGATGCCTGATGCTGTGACCCAGAGCTAATCATGTTGAGCAGCAATCCCTCAGAAGCATCACATCAACCCTGGCACCACCCTTAACATCTTCTGATATTGCCCAATTTTGTGTGATCATCTACCGTGAACTAACTTGGATTCTTTCACACCATGAACTGAGCTCAGTTTCTGATTATAATGATTTGAACTTCAATTTTTATCCCTGCTATTTGTATTTCCAATCCTAAAGGATTTGGTTTTGAAACCCCCAGCATATGTTTCACTATATTTTTTTAGTAAAAGAAGCTAAATGGGAAGGATATTTTTCATATCCGTACAAAGCAGAAATAAGAGCAATTAAATTAATTACTGCTTCCAATTTTCTCTGTATTTAAATGAAGTACTTTTAATTCTATGATTTCATATTCAATAACCTGGGAGTGAAAGACTCATTTAATCACATTCTGCAGCCATGGAAGTGAATGCTGAAGCGAAGGATCCCCGTCCTTGCCCCTCATTGCTGCCTTCCTTCTCCTGGCCTCTCTCCTGTCTTTCCCCCATTTGACTCCTATCTTCCCTGTCTCTCTCCTATTCTCCCTCCTCTATTTCTATCCTCTACTTCTGTCTATATTTCGTATTTTTTTCTTAGATAATACCAGGCCACAGGAACAAAGTCTTTTAAATGAACATTTAACTAATTTTATCATATACTGACCATTTGGTTTTAGGTATTTCACTTATGTACTTAATTTCTTACCCTTGACTTAATTGCATTTGAAATGTTCCAAGATGCCCCTGTAATGAAAGGCACAGTTTCAAAACTGAAACTAAATTGTGACTTTTAGTCCATTATCTGCAAAGCAGTTCACTTCACAAGAGAGTCTCTCCGTGGCACAAGTCACGAATCCCTTCACGGCATAACTGCTTGCTCTGGTTTTCTGGTTTAACAGCTGTGGCCTGAGGTGTTTCCATGCTTTCATTATCTAATGGTCCATAGGATTGGGGACCACTGTCGCTAGGCGGAATGGGGGTTTAATTTGTATTGCTGATAACCCCTTCCATAAATATAAAGGGGCTGAGGAAATTCCAGCCTCATTCGCCTGTAACCAACGAGCCTCATAAGCAGAAAAGCCAATGTGCTCCCTCTGGGTATGGCACATTCTTATTTCAACAGTTTATAGATCAAAAGGGAATCGGCGACTTTATGAATTCTGAAAACTCATTTAAGATTTTCATGATCCCCATCAGCTTTAGGGGCATTAAGTAGAGATACTTATATTGTTACATGGTCCCATCCTAAAAACTGCATTCTAGAACCGGAAATGCAATTTCCTTTGATTTCATGGCTCTAGCAATTTGAACAGTATTTCTCCAGGAGAGAGTGCATTATTTCTTTAATTTTAAACTAATGGAAGTACAAGCACATGGAACCTCGGAGACCCTTGCCATTTTTCCATACCCATATCCTTTAAGCATTCCTCTCTAGCACTCATATGCCTGCCTCTTGAACCTAACGTACAACACTGTTGTGAATGAATATAGATCCCATGCATCTCAGACATCCCATTTACAGTTTTAATGTTGAAAACATAAATCTCATAATAGGGCGATGATCTGATTCATTTATATATATTCTGCAATTTACTGTACAAATAATTTACTTTGTGATATTTGGTGTCCAGGACACCCTAAAATAAGAGTTTTAAAAAATGCTAAAAATGTTTTTAATAGAGAAATTGACAACCATGTCTAGAAATTTTATGCTCTGAAGAACAGAGAGAACAAACAACTCTGACATCTTACTAAATGTTATTGTATAAAAAATGTCTAAATGCAACCTTTTCATATAAAACCATAAGAAGGCATAGATATTTAGGAAACAATATAATAAAAACAAATAGCAGCAGAAATCCTACCAAAGGGCTGCAGAAATCAGCAAACTAGAATGTCAACTGCCTCCTACTACCCCATGGCCTCTAAAGTGAGTCACCTCAGGCTCTCTGAGCTCGCCAGGGTGGTATTTAGTGTAATTAAATAGTGATTTAGAAAATGACTCCCAAGAGACCTATAATTTCATTTTCAACTGAGCATTCTCTTGCAGGATAATCTGACCTGCTATTCTGTCAATAACACATTCATATGCAACCTATTGTTTGCCTTTGAGGAGGATTTAAGAGATTTACTAGTACTCCATGTGTGCAGGCTGGCTTGCTATCTCATTAAGAAGGCCATGGTGCCCTAGCTGGTTTGACTCAGCGGATAGAGTGTCCGCCTGCAGACTGGAGGGTCCCAAGTTCAATTCTGGCCAAGGGCACATGCCCGGGTTGCGGGTTTCATCCCCAGTAGGGGGCATACAGGAGGCAGCCGATCAGTGATTCTCTCCCATCATTGATGTTTCTATCTCTCTCTCCCTCTCCCCTCCTCTCTGAAATCAATAAAAATATATATTTTTTTTAAAAAAGAAGCCCATAGCTATGCTCCATGGAATCAAAGTTGCCAAAGGGTCATTATCACTATTTGGCATGTTCAGTGACTACCCAGGAAAATATGTAATAAAGCATATAATGAATAGATTTAATTTTTTCCTGAGTGGTATATTATGTAAATAATGCCACTGTACTGTACATATATAATTTACAAATGTACAATGTAGTGTGCATGTTTTGTAATAAATTGAAACAGTAAATTCAAAACATAGATCCCCATGTATTACTTGTTGCTTTAGAGATATAGACTGAACATAACTATATAAATAAAAATGAATTATTGGATTAATCAACTAAAATTTAAGAAATTTATTCTAGTGATTCCATTAGACTTCCTTTCTACATATGTGTACATGTTCCAGGTATATGCGTGTGGCACAGTTTCTGAGCCATTGGGAGCTATTCAATCAATCCCAGTCTTTCTTCTCCTTTCCTTAGTATGTGTAAATTTGGTCAAATGTCAAACCAATTTTAAAGATAGTGCCGATAAATATTTGTTATACATTGGATATTTTACATGTTTGTTATAAAAGCATACTGATTTTGAATTCTTGTAAAGGATATTGCTCTGAGATACAGTTATTTGTTGCTAATGCGGTGATGCAGGGGGGTGTGTAGAAAAGTAGAGGATAAACTGAGAAAACCCATCAGTATTATGTAATCAAAGTAACACTACCATAAACAAAACGAACTACCCAGAGCTGATTTTTAGATTAATTCAAAAGGTATAATTAACTCCATTTTAAATGCCTCCTCCCCCTATTTCTCCATCCTTGGGCCATTCCTGATGCAAAATACATTTCCCTCCTGGCATATCCTCCATGTGGTGCCCACCGTGTGATGAATCACACCTCACACTAATTACACCACATAATGTTTCTCTGTTGCAAGTTGATTTTTCACATTTGTCTATTAGCATCACGATCCTTGGTTGGTTGCCAATTTCTAAAGGCATACCAAACAGAAAGAAAAACTGCTAGCATTGAATCTTGAAATAAAATCCTTGAGCATTTCCAGAATATGCACACTCGATAGAGAAAATCTCATATCCATAAAAATTATGACAAAACATTTAAAAACCACAAGATTTTAATTTAGTGCTCCAATTCTCTGCCTCAATGAGACCACATTCCTCCTTCAGTCTTTCTAAATCTAGTTACTCAGGTGATTGCAATGCCATTTAATCACCCAGTTTTCATACCATCAGTATTTTTTCCCCACTACTCAATACCTTTGGTAATTCCCTTGCCATCAAAGATAGTGTCAAGCCCTCAGACTCCTTATTTGGAGAAAATTAAGGAGAATTTTCTCTCTACAAACAAAAAGTAAACTTTAATGCTTATATTCAGTTTTTAAGGCTATTTTGTCTATTGGATATGCTTCGTAATTAGAACTTGTTTTTGCCACAATCCTATCAGCCTATTATGAAAAGATAAATTAAATATGTCTGTTTTAATATTTACTTATGAAGCAAGAGTTGATTTTATGGCTACTTAAACTGTAATGTCCACTACTCATTTTCCTCTCAATTCTAAAATAATTAACACCTAGTGGACCCAGTCATATTACATTTCAATACTAAGCTCTCTCCACATATTAAGTATACCTTCTGTAGTCAGTGTGGCCCATTGTTTAAAATGGACTCTTGTTTATATATGTTGGACATGCATAATTACCATTTGAAAAATCTTTATTTCTAGCTAAAGAACTTCATGAAGAACTATGATGGAGTAGCCGCTGCCTCTTTCTCAAGAGCATTGGAAACCGTCGAAGCCAATGTGCGCTGGAAAATGCTTTACCAAGATGAGCTTTTCCAATGGTTAGGAAAAGCTGTGAGGCACTAATTCAACTTAACATTTCTACGAGAAGGCCTGCTTTATGCAGAATGAGGAGAATGGCCAGACTTTCAGTGTTAACGTGTGGGAGGATTTTTTTTTAATTGTTGGTCATGGGGGATTTTTTTTGTTTTATCTCATTCATCCTGCTTTGTTTCCTTATTGGGTGTTCTTCTTTAAAGAAATTCTTGCAAGTGAAACTAGCCATGATTGCTTCAGCTGTACATTCCTTGCTCTACAGGACCAAATATGATAGTGGTGCATGTTGATGTTGCAGTCAGTTTGAAAAAACACATTCAGAATACTTTGTGCATGGTTGTTGGTCCTACCTGTGTTCCAGCATGCTTATTTAAAATGTCCAATGCTGTCTACTCCAATGTTACATCCAGGATGGGCATTATACAAAAGCACAAAGATTATCTATGACAATCAGTGTTGCAATGAAAGGAAAAAAAAAGGAAATTGTAGTCTTAGTCTTGGGCATTGTAAGAGGTAAAATAGCCCTTTAAGTGATTAAGATCACTTATTTCAGCACTTGAATTGTCCTGCAATGATTATTGTGTTGTTAACCCATTTTTTTAAAGGTGTTAAAAAAATAAGGCATATAGATAGTGTATGCATATGTCAATGTACATAGGGAAACCCCATATGTATATAGTATGTTGTACACTGTACTTCTTCAAAGAATCTCTTCAGATCAAAGAAAATGTAACTCTTTTTATAAACTTCTGCAAACTTTGAAAAGGCTGAAAATAATTTATCTCAACACTATCCTTCTTGACAATTTCCTGACTAAGTTTCTCAACTGTTATGAATTTGTTTCGTCTACTTCCTTAACAGTGGTCTATTCTACCATATAAAAAATGAACTCAAGCAAAATTCATGTATAAACTAAACACTTTTTTAATTCTTCTAAGTGGCAGCCTTGCATTCTAAATATAAATCCTGTCATCATTTTGATCAAACTTCCTATTGCATAAAAACTTGTGCATACTTAACAATTATTAATGCTGCAAAAATATTTATTTTTTTCTTCTTGTTTGCATATCCATCTCATGTTGGGTGGTCCAGAGAGTTAAAAACTCTGTGTGTGTGTTGGTTTTGTGTCTGTGAATCTAATCCCCCATTAAGCATCCATACCTCAAGTGGGCCTATTAGCCTTTAATGACCCTCGATGCCAGTTGTGCCATCTGTACATTAAAGTTAAGTCCAAAAGTTACTTTTCTCGAGCAAAACTTTTTTTTTTTTGCATTGACAACACTTTTCTTTTTGTTGTGTAACACAAATGATTTTAAATGGTATTCTCACACCGTAGGCCAGCTTTCCAAACATTGCTTAGATGCTCCAATTTGGCATATTTTAAAAAATTATCATTATAAAATACCAGTACAACTCTGTACATAAGCCACATGTTTGTGGACCAATTTCTATTTTCCTGAGGTTTTTCATTCCTCCAAATCTTATTTCAAATCATTGAAAGGAAATATTCTACCTTTAATAGTCAGTGGACACTGGCAATAAAACAGCAACACCACAATAAAAAAATGGGTATTTTAGAAACTAGAGCCATATATTTATTATAGGTTTATAGGTCCTAATCCATAGGATGAGTGTCATCTAAAATTAAATTTTATATTTTAGCAGTTAATATCTATTACTTATTCCTAAACTTTTCAGCATTTCTTTCAATTAAAACATGAATTTTGAATACTCTATGTGGTGTTACTAAGACAAAGTACTAATTAGGGTAAAATTTAAGAGCCATACACCTAGCAGAAGTGGTGAAATTTAATTAGTGCTCATCACATATGTGAACTCTTTAAGGGGCACGTTCTGAAACATAACAATAATAAATGTCACACTGGTGTGCAGGTCCAAAACATGTACTATATCACCATTGAATTAATGTAACAGAGAAGACAAAAAAATAGAGGTGGATATCTTGTTTTGTGTCGTGAACTACTGAAAATTCTTAGTAGTTGTGACATACTTTTGAGTGAAATCACCATCTTCTGCATTTGAGTTAGAAGGGCTTTTATAGTTCTTTTTCCTCCCCACTGTTAATAATCTTAATCTTCTTGCAGTATTTTAGTGGCCTTGAACAACTGGGTTAGCTACAATGTCAAATCCTAAGTGTATAATTATGTGCAATGTTCAATACCTCATATAATACTTGTTCCACAGTATAAGTGGTATCAATGGCATTGAGATGGAATTTTTGTTCTACATATTTTTCAATGATTATCCTTTCAAATGTTGAAGATTATATCAGGCTTTAACATTTTTTTAGTTGTTGAAATAAGTGATATTTTCAAAATAATAAAATAACCAATGATATCTCTTGGAATATTATGTAAACTGTAGTTATAAAATTCTATTTTCTACATAGAGTTTTTATCTTTTTTCTCTTCTATGTCTGTTTTACAACTCATATGTATGCATGAAATAACAAATTGTCTTTACTGGCACAGTATATGTATAATGGCAAAACTTGGTTTCAGTTAGAAAGCTCTAAATTATTTACCATACTGAGTATTAAATATCTCTAGGTAACTTGTAAATAAAAAATTTTCCCCATTTTGACACATTTTCCCTTAAAAGTTTCTAATAATCTTTGAAAATTTAAAAATATATATATATAAGCACAACATCTAAAGCTCATATCTACATGCAAAGTTTATTCTTGAGTTTCAATAACATGGCTTTTAGTTGGAGCTTAAAGTCGCTTTGGTGTATATTATTTCCTGGATAATTGTAGGACCAGAATTTTGGTGGTAATGCATTTTATAAATATTGTAATATCTTGGAAGGTTATTAAGATTATATAATATATTTGTAAATTACATTTTTTTCAAAGAACTTTAACACATGCCATTTATTTGACTGCTTTCAAAAATATAATAAATTATATTAGCCCTGGTTGTCTGATGAGAAACTGAGGCACAGAGTAGCAATGTGAACTATTTAAAATTACATAGTTGTTACTCTGGGAACAGATAAAATAACCTAAGACTTTCAATACAGCCTTTCTACAACTAAATAGAAAGACATGTTTGAAATATTTCTATCCACTGCATTAGTTGAAGATTTTCCAAATGCTGGCAGCAGCGTCAAAATATCTGATTAAATAGATCTACAATAATTATGTTATTTATGTTAATTTTAAAGTCTGTGTTTCTGCTTTGCTTGATGTCAAACAACTGGATGAAATATTAATCAACATTGACTTTGGTCAACATAAGTAGCCAAATATTGGGACAATTTATATAGTTTATTGAGTATAGTTGTTTTTTTTTTAATCTTTTGGTGAACATTGTTTAAATGACCTTAAAATACTGATAATTTGATTTATTTTTCACACAAATATCTCTAATAAACTCTTATCTGTAGTAATAAATGATCAGACAATTGATAAAATGGTGTCCATCTAAATCAGTGAAGATAATATTCAGTAAAATGTTTATAAATCTATGCAGACTAAGTTGTAAAAAAAAACAAACTTTGTGCAGCTTATAGTACTGGATTTGATTCAATAAAGGGATTTATAAAGAAGTTTAAAATAATATGTTTAATTAAAATCTGCTGGCTATTAAATATTTAAGGCATGTTTTTCTATGTAGTGGGAAACCTAAAATAGCCCAATTATTTTTCTCAGTATATCATGTCAAAGAAGTAGTAACAATTTACATAATGAGAAATTCAGATTTCCACACCTGTATTTTTTTTGTATTCCAGATTGTAACTGAATTATTATCATTTAACACTGCTAATTATGTAATGACAGAATTCAATTTAATTAAACAAATATGTGTTGACCACCTTTTATTTTACAAAGCACTATGTGAGAGGTAAGGAAGGAAAAGATGAGTAAGACCTGAAGAAATTCATATCACAATGAATAAACAAATACAGGGTGTCCCAAAAACATGTACACATACTTTAACCGCTGATAGCTCAAATTCATATTTTTTTTTTCCTTTTCAGCCAGACTAAGTTTTAAACAAAGAAAATTCATCCTAAAATGCTACTGGAAGTTTGAAAATGCAGTAGAAGTACAAACACTGCCTTTTTAATTATTCAAAGTGTGCATCCATTTTTGGGGGACTCAGGGTGTGCAATATACATACCTCCCACAAAACGTATACACACTTTTACAGCTGATAACTCAATCTTCACTCCTTTTCATGTTTAACTGATTTGATATAATACGTGACGGGAGACTAAGCTTTGAACAAAGAAAATTTACCCACTAGATTTTTGTATGGGGTTACATAAAAAAATAAAGTTTACAGTACAAAACAGGCAATAGTTGATTAATTGAGGGCACACAAATACTGAACAAAATAATTCTTGATGTTTGTGATTCCATTGTTTTGAATTATCAGCAGTGCTTGGACCAGAACCATCATCAGTTTGAAAAAAAGCATTGACAGCCCAGCCAGTGTGGCTCAGAGATTGAGTATCGACCTGTGAACCAGGAGGTCATGGTTCAATTTCCTGATTCTGGTAGGGGCACATGCCTGGGTTGTGGGCTTGATCCCCAGTGGGGAGTGTGCAGAAAGCAGCTGATTAATGATTCTCTCTCATCATTGATGTTTCTATGTCTCTCTCCCTCTCCCTTCCTCTCTGAAAAACAATTATATATCTATATATCTATAGGGCTTTCTCTATATATAAAAAGATGTTGACAAAAAATTATTCATTTCTGTAGATTCTTTTACAATTTGACAGTTAACCATATGTTAATAAACACTGACTTTATAATAATGCAAAGTGTGTATACATTTTTTGGGACACCCAATTTAAGGAAATAATGAACCATTTAGAATGAGTGCAACATGAAAAATAATTACAGGCTATAGAAGAGGAAATAATTTTTAGGTGTGAATAATTCTCATTGTTTTATTTCAAACATTTAGTTGTATTTCACAGAAATATGTAACATTTAGAAAGTATAGAAACCTACTCAGTTTAAATTTCATAATTGGAATATAAATTGGAATAGAATTTAACTTTAAGAAAAGCTGTTTGAGCAATTTATTAATATCAGTAAGTTGCAGGAAGAATGTTTAACATATTTATGTAAAAGTAGTTCATGTTTTCTAAAATGGTTTTAGCATATTACTTTTATAGTTATAATGTGTTAATTTTAAGTTAATTATATATATTTTAAAGCAGGTTCAACAATTTTTGTTCTAGGAAATAATGTATTTGTGAAAATTGGTATATGTGAACTTTCAAATACAGACATGTTCTTATAAAATACTCTTAAATTTCAAATTTTAATATAACCTTTAGTTTGATTGCTTTGATTGAATTAGAAAGTTTATTATTAAAATACTAGAGGCCCGATGCATGAAATTCATGCAAGAGTAGGCCTTCCTTTCCCAGCTGCCAGCACCAGCTTTCTTCTGGCACCGGGGACCCCGTCTTCCCTTGCAGCCCCTGCTTCGTCTGGAAGGTCATCTGGAAGGATGTCCAGTGTAATTAGCATATTATGCTTTTACTAGAGGCCCAGTGCACGAATTCGTGCATGGGTGGGGTCCCTCTGGGTGGCCTGCAGGGATCGGGCTGAAACCTGCAGTCCAATGCCGCTTGCAGTGCCTACCTGCCACTCCCACTCATCCCGGCCCCACTGTGCCTGCCGCAGGCTTGCACCTAATCAGTCCTGATTGGGAGAGGCTCGCGCTGCTGCAGCAGCACTTGCCAGCCATGAGCCCTGTGTCTGGTGCCCTCCCAAGGGGAGTGGCCTGCAGGATCAGGCTAAAACTGGGTCTCCGACATCCCCCAAGGGGTCCCGGATTGCGATAAGGCACAGGCCAGGCTGAGGAACCCCACCGGTGCATGATCAAGGGAGGGACCATGGGAGAGCTCCAGGACATGTCTGGCCCAT